AAGCAAACAAGCAAACAAGCAAACAAGCAAACAAGCAAACAAGCAAACAAGCAAACAAGCAAACAAGCAAACAAGCAAACAAGCAAACAAGCAAACAAGCAAACAAGCAAACAAGCAAACAAGCAAACAAGCAAACAAGCAAACAAGCAGGCAGGCAGGCAGGCAAGCAAACAAGCAGGCAGGCAGGCAGGCAGGCAGACAGACAGACAGACAGACAGACAGACAGACAGACAGACAGACAGACAGACAGACAGACAGACAGACAGACAGACAGACAGACAGACAGACAGACAGACAGACAGACAGACAGACAGACAGACAGACAGACAGACAGACAGAAACGCAAGCGAACCCAACTCAGAACTAGTCTTTCGAGCGATGAATCCTCATTTCCAATCATTTAAGTATTACTTCATAAAAGCACTTGCCAGTTTCTGTAACTGCAATGTAAATTCTGCTTCCAATATAGATTACTCTTCTACATGCTCTATGTTGAAGTCCAATGAACCAGAAACACCTAGCGGTTATTATTTGGTTCAACCAAAGGAAAACGAAGCTCCATTTACAGTGTTCTGCGACATGACTGACAAAAATGGGACTGGCGTGACGGTTATTAGTCATGACAGTGAAGAAAGCACGCACGTCAACGGCTACGAAGGACAAGGGGAGTACGAAAAATTTATCACATATAACGGCTTGACCATGGAACAAATCATAAATGTCATCAACGCGTCTTGTTATTGCGAACAGTTCATCAAATGGTATTGTAAAAATGCTGGGTTGTACCTTGACTATTCAGCACCCGATTCATGGTGGGTATCACGTCAAGGTTATAAGATGACATACTGGGGTGGGGCGAATCCAGGTAGTAAAAAATGTGCTTGTGGAATGACTAATAGCTGCTTGGATACAACAAGATCATGCAATTGTGACGGTGGGTCGAGTCAATGGGTCGAAGACAGCGGATTTCTGGTGGACAAGATATACCTGCCTGTTAGTGAATTGAGATTTGGAGACACAGGGAGCTCTTCTGAAGAAGGTTATCACACACTTGGCAAATTGTTATGTTGGGACTGAACTCATAACATATACCCAACAATTAGAACATATATCTAGCTTGTACCTGTTATTATCATAAAGTTGCTTTGAAATCAACCAATGAATTATGTAAAATTGGATAGACACAATAACATTACCTATGTTAGAGAATTATGAGGGCGCGTATGGATTGTTCCTTTTATTAAGAGTAATTAGATTTGTTGTTGTTAAATTATGCAAGGATTTTATTTACAACTATGTAATTATGTAATAACAATGTAATAGATAAGGTGCAGGGGTGCCGGAGCCACGAGGGCAGCGGGGACAGCTGCCTCCGTTGCCTAAACAGTGCGGGGGCAGCACGGATGCAGCAGGTTTCCTTTTTTACCAGAACTGCACTTCGAACGTCGTGCGTTTTTCACATGAATTGAAATTGAAACCTGTTTTTAAACAATTTAGCTCATATTTGAATCTAAATTCCTCTCAGAAATGTTACCAATCAGTTTCCACCTATGAAAAAAAGGGAAAAAGAAAGCCTTCCTAAATAACTGACAACTTTCATGTTGCTTTACAATACATTTTAGTCTTTAGTGTCATGCAACGAATAAAAATGTTCCAATCCATGTCGAAATTTATCTAACTGTATTAGCTACAAGAAATGAAGTATCATTTATACAGCAAAATGTTAACGAACATTGCCTCACCCCCCAAAAAAATTAAGGCTCAAGAGTAAGTGTCCTTTTTAAATGGCTGCCCCCGCCGCTTCTTGTTGCTTCCGGCGCCCCTGATAAGGTGTAAAAATATAAACCAGTTTTAGTTTCTCGCGTTTATGATTTTTATATTTATAGGAAATTTATTCTTACTTTCTCTATTTATCTGCATTGTTTGTTCTAATGAGTAAAAATTTTGTTGAACATACTATTGCAATGGATGATTGCAGCTATAGACAAAATTTTGATCTCGACAAAATAACGAAATCCATTACCATACTGAAAAAGAGCGTCTTAAAATGCGTAAAACTGCAAAGTTTCGTTACGAATTTTTGTAAAATGAGGAAAGTATAGCCCTGCTAAATTCGCAAATTTTGCACATATTTGCATTATGCGCAGGCAAAATAACCGTTTCTGAGCCGAAAGTGGTTATTTCCACCGCGCGTAACACAAATATATACAAGATTTGTGAACTTGATAGAGCTATATTTATTCATTTTACAACATGTAACAACCAATCTTTGCAGTTTTACTCACTCTAAGACGCTCTTTCTAGATCTTTTCCCCTATGATTGCTTTTTTGGCGGATATAGGCTAGATAAATGGTGACGTCATGTTGCCAAGTTAAAGCGAAGAGAAACGATTGTGTATTAAAATTTCTCTTTGATATACGAGGAAACGAAAGTCTATGTAAAATATCGAGTTTTCTCAGCCTATAATTTTTTTAGAGCTTCTAGTTGAAAACACTATAATATAGTAGAAACTAAAAGGAGTCTCCTTAAGTCCCATAAAAAAGAACAATAGTTTGCTTTACATAGAAAAATACATGTGACTTATCAAGAACAACTAACAATTGACCAATGGCATGTTTACGAACAGCTTACTGTAGTACACAAAGTTTTTCAAGTTCTAGGACAGTCAAACCGAAAGAATAATTGTTGTTCAACTTAGTCCTATAAAATTGATATAGTGTAATTTCGTGAAGGAGTGTATCTAAAAGTCGAGAGTATAGGTCGAGAGTCGAGAATATAGGTCGAGAGTCGAGGGTAAAAGTCGAGAGTCGTGAATAAAAGTCGAGAGTCGACAAATGTCATCGTTTCAATCTAACCGACACATAAACGACAAAAGAATCCTCTTTTAAATGGGCTCGTACATATAAGTTCACAATTTTATGAATCAGTTAGACTATGCTCAACGTAGAATACTTCATACGCTCTCGTTTACATAACGTATGCCTTTATAATTAAATGGCATTGTACGGGCACGGCCTGTACTCTTTGTCTTTGAGACTATTCCTTGACATCAATGTTACTATGCTGACCATTAAAGTTTAAATTCTAGCGAAAACAAATAAGGTTTTACAACAATACCAAAATAACCAAATCCGTTTAAACTTACAATGAGTACTAAATAAATGTAATACAAGATATCTACTCACCAAATGTGAAGGTACAAACGATGTAGACTAACAATATAGTAAATTAAACGTTAACTTGTTCAAAGAAAATCTTAGCAAAAGCTGTTGCCGCACCCTCGGCTGAACTTTGTACTTTCCTTCGAGAGGGCAAAAGTCCACGCTTTCTTGTCCAAAATAAGAATGTCATTAATATAATTATGAATACTATTAACTCTAAATACCGCCGTACTATAGTGTTGAGGGCGCCTCAACATAGTCTCCCCTTTGAACGGTTAGACAGTCGTTCAATATAAACTCATTTCGTCTCTTCTAAAAAGCAAAGCTTTGCGATAGGTCTCACTAGTAACGACGACTGGGTCTTTACTTCGGCTGTGCGTACTAAACCGTCCGTGCCAGGAAACATCTTCGTCACACGTCCTAGATTCCAATGACTTCTTGGTTGGGTTGAGTCAACGACCAACACGAGATCATTCACTTGAAGATTTCTTTTCGGCACAAGCCACTTTTTCCTTACTTGAAGAAAAGGAAGATACTCTCGAACCCAGTGAGCCCAAAATTGATTTGCTAGCACCTGCGCTCTCTTCCATTTCTTACGTGAAAACATCTCTGAATCTTCGAATTCTCCAGGAGGAATAGCCAATCCTTGACGTTGCTGGAGGAAATGACTTGGCGTTAGCGCTGCCATATCTTTTGGATCATCACTGCTTGGACACAACGGACGGGTGTTAAGGATACCAACAACTTCAGCGAAAAGTGTCCGCAATGTCTCACGATCCACAAAGGCATGTGGATGTCCGAGGATAGCCTTCATATCTTTGCGCACACTTCGAATTAGTCGTTCCCACACACCAGACATATGACTTGCGGTTGGTGGTTGAAAATGCCATTTCTTAAAGGGTTAGAAGTGCCATTCTACTCCTTTCTCGTGTGCCGCCTTGATAATTGCTCTTTGATCCCATTCTCGCATGGGTAAGCCTAGCTCCCTTTCGCCACCAGTAAAATTCGTTCCGTTGTCGCTCCATATCTCCTTAGCTGCTCCACGAACGCTTATAAAACGCCTCAGTGCCAAGACAAATGTATCAGTTTCTAATGAACCGACATCTTCGATATGAACTGCTCTCGTGGTAAAACATACAAAGATACACCCGTATATCTTTTGCGAACTACGTCCAAGTTTCACAGTAAACGGGCCAAAAATGTCCAAACCAGTAAAAGTAAAAGGTGGTTCGTATGGAGTGAGTCTGGCACCAGGGAGATCGCCCATCTTCTGCGACATTGGTGATTCGTTATTCTTACGGCAGGTTATCCACTGGCGAAGAATTTGACGAGTTAGTGCAAGTGAATTTAGTTTCCAGTACCTCTGCCGAACAGCTGACAGTATATGTTCCCGACCAGCGTGACCTAGGACGTGATGAAAATAAGAAATGATCAATGCGGCGATGTGATGCTCGTTAGGAACAATCATTGGATTGATGGCTTCGGATGTTATTGGGGCGTGTCGCAGTCGGCCGCCAACACACAGGACGCCGTTTTTCAATACCGGTCAAAGATTCACTAATCTGCTGCTGGACTTTACTCCTTTCTCAGTCGACAATGCCAAGATCTCTCTAGGAAAGAATTCCAGCTGCACCAATTTTACGATCGCTCGTGCTGAATTTTTCATCTCGACTAAGGTGATTTGGTTGGCACATGAGAGGGTATTTGGCTTGGATTGGATAAACATTGCGAATCGAGTCAACCATGCAACTCATTTTTGTAGCTTCGACCATGACGAAAAACGTTTCAGCAACTCCGATAAACCGTTACCGACAGCAACAACATTTTGACAAGATTGCTTTGTTAAATCTCCTTCACCGTCTTCTAGAACTTTGGTTATCGTTGTGCATGGCCATTGATCAACGCTTTGGTGCAGAAAATCTGGGCCTGACAACCAACGACACTTCGCTTTGAACACTTCTATTGGTAAGCCCCTTGATCTGTCATCTGCTGGATTGAGCTTTCCTGGAACGAAACGCCACTGATCGAACTTTGTGTGTTCATGAATCTCTTGAAGGCGTGTCGCTACAAAACGATGAAATCTTCGACTCTCGTTATATATGTACTGCAGCACGGTTAATAGAATCTGTCCAGAATATAATATTGTCGAACTTCCAGTAGAATTCTGAACGGATAAGGTTGCTCAGACGCACCGCCATGACACTCGCCAAAAGCTCTAATCTCGGAATAGTTGGCCTTCTTATTGGAGAATTTCGACATTTTCCCATTACGAAACTGCAGTGAATCACACCTTGATCATCTGTGATCCGAATGTAGGCTGACGCAGAATATGCCACTTCACTGGCGTCGCTGAACATGTGAAGTTCAATACTTTCACGCGGGATCTTGGTTACAATAAAGCACCGGGGAATTCTGATGTCGGAAAGCTGAAGAAGTGATTGAAGCCAATTTTGCCAAATTTCGAGCTGCTTCTCAGATATCTCTTCATCCCATCCAATTCCTTGGCGCCAGAGTTCCTGCAGAAGTATTTTGACAGGTAAAATGAACGGCCCCAGGAATCCCAGCGGGTCGAATAATGAGCTAATAACAGAGAGAATGCCGCGTTCGGTAGCGGGTTTGTCAGTTCTAATGGACGAAAAATAGAACTCATCGGTTTGAGCGTCCCAGGATAAGCCCAAGGTACGATTAATGGGTAGCTTATCTAAATCCAGATCAAGGGTAGGAGTAGCTCTTTCTTTCACTGGACTTGCTTTCAAGACATCCTTACGATTGCTGAGAAATTTTGTTAAAGCGAAAGCCACCTTCTGCGAGTATATCGATTAGTTTCAGTGCTAGGCTAGGTTAATTGCCTCTTCGTCTGTAGCAGTAGATTTCAACAAATCGTCCACGTAGAAATTACGCCGCGCCACTTCAGCTACGTCTTTACCATATTTCAACTCGTTATCGTTTGGTAGCGCAACATGGAGAAGACTTGACACCAAAGATGTGAACCAGCATTTTGTATTCCTCCAATGGCTTTTGGCAGTCGTCATTCCACAACAAGAAGCGGAGAGCATCACAATCTTCGGGTTGAACCTTTATCTGGTGGAACATCGCCTCTATGTCCGCGATTAGAGCAACTGCGAACTGTCTGAAACGGATTAGGACACCCACCAGATTGTTCATCAGGTCAGCACCTTGAAGAAGTTGGTCATTAAGTGATGTGTCGTTGAACGTTGAAGCGGCGTCGAAGACAACACGCACTTTCTCTGGTTTACGAGGGTTTATCACCGGGTGATGAGGAAGATACCAGGTTTTATCGCTTTTAGTGATTGCTTCGTTCTTTGTGAGCTTTCGAGCATAACCCTTTACTATGTAATCATCTATGATAGCGAGATATTTCGTTTTCAGCTTAGGATCTCGTTCAAGTCGCCGTTTCAGATGTTTAAGTCGTATTTCTGCTACTGTCCGATTGTTCGGGAGATGTGTATCTTCATTATTCCATAGTAGGCCCATTTGATAGTGACTGTCAACCTTGGTGAGAGTCTTCTCTATCACTTTCAACGCTTGTTTATCTTGGACTGACATGGTCTTCGAGTTATCACGAGAGGTTCCGAGGGACTCCAGTTTCCAAAATGACTCCAATTGATGGTTAAAGGTAATATCGCTGGAGACACATACGTTATGAACCGCGGATGTACACGCTGTAGAACACTGAGCTTCAATCTCTTTACCCATTCGACCAAAGACTGAGTAACCCAGGCAGGATCGTATGGCCACTGGAGAGACTGGCCCGTCGTAGCAAACATCGATCGGGATAAATGCTTCAGGCATGTCCGTTCCAATGATAATGGAAATCTTCTCTCTCTCGACATTAGGGAAGGGTACATTCTAGAGATGAGGCCATCGTGACTTGTCCTGGAAAACACGCTGATGACGTAATGGTATCTTTAATTCTTAACTGCTCCAAGCATTAGTTAGCTTCAAACGCTTCGGCTTTTCATCGATAAGAGATTCCACTGATAGATTTATGCGATAGCCGTGTTGTACATCATTCTCGTTACTCACGGTTGACACCACTATTTTATCGAGATGTCCTTGTGCTCCTACTTGTTTAACCAATGACGGGTCTACTAGATTGATTTCCGAGCCCGAGTCCAACATTGCGTATGTGGTCGCGACTTGCCGTTCTCCAATAACGCGCACAGGAATTACTCTCAGAAGTACAGCATGAGGTGCTTTCGACGTGGCTGTGCTGCTTGTAACAGTTGGGAGCTCGATGTTTATGTAACAAAGTGTGGTGCAATGCTCCACACCCTTCGATTTTGCATTTAAATTTGCTAGTGCAAGACCTGTCAGTATGTTTCACTGTTCTACCAAGTTGCTTGATCTGGTTGCTCTTTAGACAATTGTAGCAGAGGTTTTTCCTTTTAGCTAACTCGAACCTTTCACCAGGGGTTTTACCTTTGAACAGTTCACAACGATATATTGGATGTGCTTGCGAACAACAACGACACGGAGTAGTGACTTTGGCTGACTTGTAAATATTTCTGCTGTCGTCTCCTTGGACGCCCATAGCCCACGCCATCTTTGGACCATATTTCATCTTTCCCTTTGCTAGTCCTGAACCTTCTTGTTGATCGGTATTGCTTGCGTTTATCGGGTGATTGGCAACGTTTGCCCACTTGTCGAGAAAGCTTGCAAAGTCGTTCAATGTAGGAAACTGGTCTTCTTTCGCTTCTAGATCGCAAGCTACAACTGCAAATCTTTCCGGAAGATATTTTGGCAGTCGACGTAACATTTCCACCAGATTTCCTTGGTTAACTTCATTCAAGCAGCACGATGATTTTAGAGTTACATTGGCGCTAGCAGCTTCGTCTGCGAACTTTTGTAAGGCGGTTCTGTCCCTACTTGGTATAGCTGGGCCCTTTGTCAAACCGTCTAGTATAGAGTTAACGATCAAACACCTTTTTCCATATCTCTTTTCCAAAATTTTCATTCTTCTTCGAAACTTTTCACTGCTTCCTTGGCTTCACCACCAAGGAACTGTAATAAACGCAACATTTTTTCACCGTCACTGAAATTGTGTCTAGACATGATACGATTCTCAAATCTTTGTTTAAACATCGGGAATTCACTTGGTGAACCAGAGAACATCTCAAGGTGTACAGGAGGTAGGTTTAGGTTTGATGCCAATCTTTGTTGCACCAAGGATATACTTTCCGTAGCTGATGCCACGGTGTGGAAGAGGTCTGGATCGATTTCACTTTGTTTGAATATGGTGCTTTCATAGGAACAAGGTTAGGTTTACGCTCAGATATAGGAACCGTATCTCTTATATCGACTTCGGGTGATTTACTACGCGCAGAGTTGAAATCCTGGTCACTAATTTCACTAGGGGAAGACAACGTGGCAGGTGGTATTACGGGAGTGGGATATTACCGTTGGATGTTGGAATCCATAGGGAAAGTTTAAAGGCTGTGAAGAAGGTCGCGTGTAAAGTGGTGTTGTATTATGCCAATATCTTGTGTTGTCAACTGTTCTCGGTTGATCTCGCCGTAGGTAGGAGGGAATTCGGGTCTTCCATACGTATGGTGGGTTTGGCAGAATTCTCCGAGGTTCTGTTGCACCTGACCGACTTGGTACATTAGGGTAGGAAGGAACTTGAGTCGCCCATGCGTATTCAGGGGCAAGTGTTCTCCAAGGCTCCGGCCATATTACATCTGGTCGAGCCGGTTCGTTAGCTGTAGCTGGCGTTGAGGAAAATGGTTGCCTTCGTGTTGTGGATCGCTATTAAATACCGATGGATACGTCGTATCAGTTCTGGAGGAATATCTCGTTGCCATGTCTGTCGTAACCTTGTCTGGATTCTGGACTTCGTGTAAATGGGTAAGTGAAATTACTTCTGCAGGTTCAGAAGAGATTCGTCCCCCGATTTCTGTCTCCAGCTCTATGTCGACTTCTACATAGCTATCGAACTGCTTCTGCAGCTGTGCTTCCAAATTCGCGAGAGCAGCTTGTTTTAAGGTTTCTATTCTTCTCGTCCTTTCAAGTTCTTCTTCCTCCAATTTCTGTTGCGTTTCTAATTCTCTTTGCTTCCTTTCTATGTCCTGAACCCTAAATTCCCCTTCGAGAACTCGATGTCGTTCAACTTCAGCTAAACGTAAAGCCAACTTTGCTTTAGCTGCTTGCACCCTTTTTTTCTTGTGCTGATGATCGTGAGGATTGACTTGATGCCTTTGATATACTTGATCTATTTGAAGTTACACTTTCGGCATACACATGCTCTTTCTGTATTGTACTTAGCGTTACATTTGGGGAGACATAGTTTATAGGGTTCTCTTCACAGTTTTGTAGGTATTTTGATACACGATTTGAAAATAATTATAGCCTTCTCTGTATACAATTGGTTATACAGTTGAACGGCATCGGAAAATACTTAACTATGCGGACTAATCAATGATAGATAACCGTTGTGTGTGTCTTCAAATTTGCGCCATGCATCATCATATCGATGCAATTGTATTTGAACCGTCTGTGCGTTCTCTACATTTGACAAAAGGATTTCAATTTGTCCTCGGACACGAGTAATGACTCCAAGAAACCCGGCTCTCGATCTTTTGGATGAAAAGATTCTTTCATTCAGTATAGCATCGTTAAATTGTAGACCACGTTGCGACGGTGGTTCTTGAAAGTTTATATCATCAGAATTCATAATTCGCTATCAAGCGTTCAAGTTTGATAGTTTAATTTCAAAAATGTCGTACACTCACAGACAGTTCAAATTTGCTAAGGCACCAATAAATCTGTAATCTCTCATACCTGATATGCCAGCGAGCTTACTTGTAGGTAAATCAAACGTACACAAAGGACACGGTTCTTGTGAGTTCGATTCCTCTCAGCTTGATTCTTGAATTCTTTCGATCGATAAATTCATTTGAATTAAACCATGTACGGGCACGGCCTGTACTCTTTGTCTTTGAGACTATTCCTTGACATCAATGTTACTATGCTGACCATTAAAGTTTAATTCTAACGAAAACAAATAAGGTTTTACAACAATACCCAAATAACTAAATCCGTTTAAACTTACAAGATATCTACTCACCAAATGTCAAGGTACATACGATGTAGACTAACAATATAGGAAAATAAACGTTAACTTGTTCAAAGAAAATCTTAGCAAAAGCTGTTGCCGCACCCTCGGCTGAACTTTGTATTTTCCTTCGAAAGGGCAACAGTCCACGCTTTCTTGTCCAAAATATGAATGTCATTAATATAATTATCAATACTATTAACTCTAAATACCGTCGCTTGCAACAAAGGATGAACGCCCTCTCTCTCTACTTCGGATAAAAATGACTATACTATATTCTTGTTTGATATTTAAATTATAAGTTGTGAAGTTTTGTATAATGATGTTTTGTAACAGGTCACTAACGTAATTGGCTCACGCTGTGTTAGTGTTCCTGAACCGTCTTCCTGTTTTTATATGTATATTTCGGTTGACGGATGAAGTTAATAAATAAATAAATAAATAAAACGCGGTCGCTCATAAAAGAGTGCCTATTTGCGTGAGAATTTTCTTCAATATTTGTCGCACTTGACAGTTCTTAATCTGATCAACATGCTGCAAACTGATTGGCTGGGCGAATCGAAACCATCAAATGATCATCACACACATTGAAGTTTCTCAGTAAAAACATTAGAATTTTGCCATGAAAATAGACAATCTTTTATCTGCGACTGTTTATCCTATAGGCTTAGTTGCAAGCGACGATAGCTACAAGCCCGAAGCTAGCTGTCAAAATTCAGTGGAGAGGTCGTTTATGTGTTAGTTAGATTGAAACGCAGCAAAATTTGATAAAATAACAAAAACGTTTAGCAAGATGGAGACATCACATGTGATATTAGTTTTTATACAGTCTTTTGTTCTCGTTATTATTATTGACTGTTGTAGCTATATTTATGCCAAAGTTTGTAGTTCAGCCGTTGTTACGGAGCGGTTATATATTGTGTTAAAAATCTTTTGACTTCGTTGTTTCTCATGACGTTTGTTGACTCTCAACTTTTTGCTGTCGACTCTCGACTTTTTGCTGTCGACTCTCGAATTTTACTCTCGACTTTTACTCTGGACTCATGCCCTATACTCTCGACCCTCGACTTTTAGATACACTCTTCGTGAAGTGTTAATGGAAACTCGCACGAGTGTTTTGGCAAAATATTTACATATGTAATAAATAAATATACATAAAAATATTACTCAACTGTGATTGGTTGAATTCAGTGCTGTCAATCCCAAATAGCAGTGCAATTTTCTGTAATCACAATGCAATTTTCTGTAATCACAGTGCAATTACTTGTAATCACAGCGCAAAATTCTGTAACAAACTGATTTGATTGGTGGAAAAACAATGTGCTGATAAAATCAAGCAATCATGCAGTTTAAAGCAGTTTAGTTTAAAGAAGTAACGGTCACAGATTGCTTCCATAAGCCCCGCGCTACGTAAAGTAAAAGTTGACTTCGGTTGGAAAATATAGCTTTTACCTTTTTCTAAATGGAAAAGACTTGTACTATTTACAACATGAGCGGCCGTGTTGTATCGGATATACAAACTCGAGCCGAAGGCGAGAGTTTGTATATCCGACACAACACGGACGCGAATGTTGTAAATGGCTTAAAAAACGACTCATCTTATCAGTTCATTGGCACAGGAATTTTAAAAATAAACGTTGGCTAAGCCGAGAAAATGAAAGTTAAAGTTTATGTAATTCAACATGAATCTGTATCACATATACAGATACGACACGCTTATGATTTTTCTTTGTGTTTTCTTCATGAATTATTAATGAGTCTTTTAAACAAGACTAATAAAATTTACATAGTTAAGTGGAATATTCAAGCTGTTAGTGTTGTATAATGTGATTAATAATATACATAAAGATATTACTCGACTGTGATTGGTTGATTTCAGTGCAGTTAATCCCAAACAGCAGTGCAATTTTCTGTAATCACAGTGCAATTTTCTGTAATTATACAGTGCAATTTTTTGTAATCACAGTGCAATATTCTGTAATCACAGTGCAAAAATCTGTAACAAACTGATCTGATTGGTGGGAAAACATTGTGATGATTAAATCAACCAATCAGTTTAATTTAAAGCAATTTAGTAGTAACGGTCACAGATTGCTTCAAAACAAAACAAACATGGCGCCGCGCTACACAAAGTGAAAGTTGCCTTCTCGTGGAAAATATACCTTTTGTCTTTATTGTTAAATGGAAAAGCATTTACCTTAAACAAGACTAACAAAAATTACATAGTTGAGTGGAATTTTCAAGCTGTTAGCATTGTATAATGTGATATAACAAAGCCAGGAAAACTTTGCCAGTGGAATGTTCGCTATATAAACGCGTAAGTTAAAACTATACAATTGTCTCGAACATTTTTATGTAAATTATTAATAAGTAATGGCATGGTTTCTCGTGAAATTTGGATAAACATGACTCGTGAGTTTTTCAAAGACCTCAAATAGCACTCGTCCTTCGGACTCGTGCTATTTTGAGGTCTTTGAAAAACTCACTCGTGCATGTTATATCCAAATTGCACTCGAAACCATGCTATTACTTATACAGAACAAAGCCAGAAAAACTTTGCCAGTGGACGGTTCGCTATAAACGTAAGTTAAAACTATAATTGTATCGAACATTTTTATGATTTTATGTAAATTATTAATAAGTAATAGCATGCATGGTTTCTCGTGAAATTTGGATAAACATGCATTTGCGAGTTTTTCATGGACCTCAAATAGCACTCGTCCTTCGGACTCGTGCATGTTATATCCAAATTGCACTCAAAACCATATACTATTTCAGGGTACCTATACATATAACTATTTCGCCAAACACAAGTGTGACTTTTCATTAATATTTCGAGAACAAGTGTAATTTCCAATTAATATCACTTTTTAGTATAAATTTTGCACATCAAATGAGCTTTCTAAATTGAAAAAATCGTCCCCAGAAAACGAAAGAAGCCCAAAATGTTGTATTTAACTTGAAAGGCAGGCTTCTTTATTATTTTACTATGCCAAGCATATTCAAAAAAATTTAAAACTTATTTAAGTTAAAACTCCGAAACATTCACTTCAAACAAATTGCAAAAACTATCCCTACTGTTGGCAAAATCTTGCCGTGATTCTTTTTAAATCCATTTTGTTTTGTGATTTTCTTTTAAATCAATTTTGTTATTTCTTTTGATATGTCATGTTTTTATTGTGCTGTACGGTGTCCTGACGCCGTATTTTGTTTTCATAACTTGTAAAGTGAAAAGTGTTATTAAAACTTTTATATTTCGAGGCATTCGAGCAATAGCCAATAGTTTTACATTCCATTTTACCAATTTTCTCAGCCATTTCCTTAACAAATTAAATTAATGCTAAACAGAAACTATTTTTTAATTCAAAGTCCGGTGAAAAAGTTATTCCATCATTGTGTTTATATTCTAAGCAGAAATCGAGGAAAACAACTTTGTAATGAAACAATAAAGTCATGCACAGAAAGCCATTTCGAAAGCGTGCGTGTACAAGAAACACTGCAACATACTAAAACAGTAACCGTAAACCGGCCGAAAACAGTATTATTTCTCAGAATAATTTTAATTAAACTGATATTTGGATATTTGGATTTATTCATTAAAAATTTATACTAAAACAATTATTCGCCTCAGGCTCAGTGATATGATTACGGTGATAATAATATACATAAAGATATTACTCGACTGCGATTGGTTGATTGCAATGCAGTTAATCCCAAACAGCAGTGCAATTTTCTGTAATCACAGTGCAATTTTCTGTAATCACAGTGCAGTTTTTTGTAATCACAGTGCAACTTTCTGTAATCACAGTGCAAAAATCTGTAACAAACTGATCTGATTGGTGGGAAAAAACATTGTGATGATTAAATCAACCAATCAGTTTAAAGCAGTTTAGTTTTAAAGAAGTAACGGTCACAGATTGCTTCAAAACAAAACAAACATGGCGTCGCGCTACACAAAGTAAAAGTTGCCTTCGAGTGGAAAATATGGCTTTTATTTTTATTTTTAAATGGAAAAGCATTTACCTTAAACAAGACTAACAAAAAATACACAGTTGAGTGGAATTTTCAAGCTGTTAGCGTTGTATAATGTGATAAAACAAAGCCAGGAAAACTTTGCCAGTGGAATGTTCGCTATAAACGCTTAAGTTAAAACTACAATTGTCTCGAACATTTTTATGTAAATTATTAATAAGTAATTATCATTATTATTATTATTATTGATCTTTAAACACGGTAACCTTTCACATAGGTGATTTTCAAAGGGCCGTGCTGAAAATAAATGCATTATAAAAGAAGGAACTAATAAACTAAATTATACTTATTTACAAAATATACTTATTTACTTATTTACAAGATGTAATTATTTAATAGATGATGGACAGATTTTAAACTTGTTGACTCTCTTAGGGTTTTCAACAAGTTTACTGGGATGTTGTTCCAATACGCTGCTCCTCTGTACGAAAAGCTATTTTTCAAGAAATTCGTTTTCGGTTTAGGTTGAGACAGCTTTAAATTACTACTGCGCAGTACGTAACCATTGTTTTCGCAAGTGTGAAATAGTTGTGTTACGTATTCTGGAAGCATGCCATTAATCGCTTTAAATGTCATAAGGAGATCTCGCTTTTTCAAAACTAAGTCAAGAGGTTTCCAGCTAAGTTTTTGAAAAATGTCCGAAGATCTTATAGTATAGTCCGCATTTGTTATTATTCTTGCTGCTCGTTTCTGAAGCTTATATAATTTGTCTAAGTGTGTTTGGTTGTTATTTTGCCAAACAGTTGAACAGTAGTTAAAATGAGGCGCGACTAATGCGTTATACATAATTTTGAGCGTATCTAGGCCAACAAAATCTTTGGATTTTCTTAAAAGATTAATATTTTTTGATATCTTGTTGCATTGTTCTTCATTTTGCCTATTCCAGCTAAGTCTATCGTCTATAACTATACCCAAAGCTTCCTTTTTATAAACTCGTTCAATTTGATGTCCGTTTATGCTGATTTTTGGCACGTGATCTAAGTTTTTCAATCGTTGCCGAGATCCAATAATCATATATTTGGTTTTTTCGTTGTTTAATGTTAGTTTATTCGCTGATAACCATTTTTGAGCATTTACTAGGTCTTTGTTAAGTTTGTATTCAATATCTATGGATAAATGCCCTTGACATGATAAAATTGTGTCATCAGCAAATAAATTAGAATGTGTTGTTTCTAGGCAGTTTGGGAGGTCGTTTATGTAAATGAGAAATAATAGAGGTCCAACATTTGAACCCTGAGGTACTCCACAACGAATTGTTTCAATATCAGATTTACAGTTATTTAGCATGCAAATTTGCTTTCTTTGATCTAAATACGATTGGAACCATTTGAGCGTGTGGTCGCGTATCCCATAAGCTTGTAGTTTTGACAATAGAATCTGGTGATCAATCGTATCAAATGCTTTTTTCAGGTCTAGGAAAATAACCCCATTTATTTGACCCTGGTCCATTGATTTCAACCACATTTCAGTGGATTGTAGTAACGAGGTTTCGGTTGAGTGATTGCGACGGAAACCTGATTGATTTTTTACAATTATGTTGTTGTTATCCAGGAAGGTATTTAGTTGTCTACAGACTAATTTCTCAAATATTTTGGCGATATTCGAAATGACTGATATCGGTCTATAGTTTTCACATAAGGTTTTGTTTTCTGACTTATATATTCGAGTCACTTTGGCAAATTTCCAATCATCTGGAAATATTCCTGTCCTAAGAGATAGGTTAAACACTTCTAGAAGTGATTCAGTTATTGTATCGCCTGCCTGTTTTATTAGCTTAGTTGAGATCTTATCTAGACCTGTAGATTTTGCCATTTGCATATTTTGTATTTCTCTTTTCAGCTCATAGCTTGATATGCTATGAAAGTGAAATACATTTGTGACTTGGTCTATATATGACAAAGGATCAGGACTACAGCTATTGTCAGCAATGTTATTTGCTAATTTGGGACCTATAGAAGTGAAGAATTTATTAAACTCGTCGACTATGGCTTTATCTTGTGTTACATTTTTTCCATGGTCTACGCTAAGTTCATTAACAATTGTGGTTTTGGATTTCCTATTAAGCAGATTATTTAATGTATTCCAACCTTCTTTACTATTTTTACTGTTTTGTAGTTTAGTGTTGTAAAAATGAACCTTAGTTGCTTTGATTCTTTTGTTAAGTTCATTTCTACAACGTTTATAAGCTTCGTGGTAATTAGAAGAGTTAAATTTGACCGCTTTTTGTTTCAAGTAGAATTTATGATGCGCAAGGTTTTTTATTTCGCATAAAATCAATCATGCATAAAACCAGTCATACGTGTGATAAATTATTTGTGAAAGGCTACTGTGGCAAAACATTCCAGGTTTTGGAGGTCGAATGTACAAAAAAGTACAACTGTATGTTACTTGTTACTTTACCCAATCAAATCAAATTGCGTTTTAAGCCGTCCAGTTTTGTGCGTAAGTCATTTTTAAAATGGTTCATAAAAATAATTCTCTTGCGCACTCGAAAATTCACATTTCAAATTAATTTTAGTGGTAAAGATCTAGCAGATCCCCCCAAACTACCCATGCATGCATGCATACCGTTTTCATACCGAAACTTTGCCGAATTTGCAGTTTAGCGAACATTTTTTAACTGTGCAGTCTTTCTATTCATTCACCCTGTATAAAGACAGTAAAGAGGAACTATTTACAGAATAATATATAGAAATAAAAATTTCATAGAAGTTAAAATTACTCACTACAAGGACCATCGTGAACTTTCGTGATATTTTCTTCACTCTCACATGCAGCCACTTCCAACAAACACGTGTTGTTATATGTCTTCCCATCTGATCCACATACTGGAGCGTATATCTTGGGGCAAGCAATAGGACACTTCGCTTCTATTATATATAAAAAAACATAAAAAGAAAAACAATTTACAGAATAATATATAGAAACGAAAATTTCATAGAAATTAAAATTACTCACTGCATGGACCATCGTGCACTTTCGTTATGTTTTCTTCGCTCTGACAATCAGCCACTTCTAACGCACAGATATTATCATATGTCTTTCCATCTGATCCACATACTGGAGCGTATATGAGAGGGCAAGCTTTCTGACAGCTTGGTTCTTTAAATTATATGAAGCAATAAGAGAAAATAAATTATCTTTTGATGGAGAAATCATTAACAATCACTCATTAATTATTTAGTACATATATTTTAAACAAGGCAAGGAAATTGAAAAACAAAAGTACAACAGTTTTTCAAACTTAGCTAAAACATGAATGGCATGCAACCAATTTCCAGGATCGAACGAAAGGCGAATAGACTTAATTTATATTTGCAATGTTGGTTGACTTGCATGGTTGGATTTGAATTGGAAATAATAAAAATTGTTAACTAAATTTATTGAAAATCGCAATGTCGCTTGCACATCAGGAATTACTTATCAAATGTACTACAACTAAATTTGCATAACTATTGGCAGTAAAAGAAAGAATAATTTAATTTTAATTGGAACAATTCAGTAAAAGTAATATTTGGTGAGCATGCATGCGATTAAGCAAAATTTCTGTCACGTAGTACGTAGAATGCAAATTATGAACGAAATATAATTGGTGCTTTTGCATCACTTGTTTGTTTAATTGATGTAAGATCATGTAAAGCTAGTATAATGGTTTTAAGATATATTGAAGAGCAGTTCTTGTTCAGCGCAATTTTCATTGGGATTTTGTTCCACACACTGGAATGTAATATATCCTGGAGCAACCGCTTGAACACATTGGTTCTTCAGCATGCATGCAGATATATATCAGGAGAATAAAAGTGGTGTTTCATTTAAAAATATTAAAAAGTGCTTCAAAATTAAGATCCACAAACTGGAGTGTATACAAGACAGAAGGCAAACCTCCGAACATGCACTCTACTTCTGTATGAAAAGAGAAATGATTTATAGAATAATAAAAAGACTGAAATAAAAATTCCATAAAATCTAAAATTACTCACTGCAAGGACCATCGTGAACTTTCGTGACATTTTCTTCACTCTCACAGTCAGCGACTTCCAACAAACACATGTTATCATACGTCTTTCCATCTGATCCGCACACTGGAGCGTATATCGTAGGACAAAATTGTTGACAATCCGATTCTTTGATATAATTATCAATGACAGAAAAGAACGTTTTGATTGACAAAATATTTAATATTTCTCATTAATTATTTCGGATATATTAAAACATTACATATCATAAAGGATTTAATTTTTTTTAAAAAATTCAAGTTTAGTTATCAGTTGTTATGCACATGCGCGCTGCCATCTTAAATATTTACCTTTACTCTTGCATGATCCGTTATGTTTTAATGTTATTTCTTTGTCGTTTTCAAATTCACAATCAGCAAACCGCAAGCTGCATAGATTGGAGTAAGTCTTGCCGTTTGATCCACACATTGGATCATAATCATTTGGACAGAAGGCTGGACACACTTTACTCGTGACTAAAACAAAAAGAAAATATGATCTAATATGTATAGCGTCACCGTTTAATCGGTGTTGTAAAAGATTCGTGCATCTGTATAGGTAGGTTTTGCGTAATTACAAGCTCCTGCACTGGCAAGTGAGGTGGATTAGTTGCGCTTAAACGTAAATCCTAAACTTAGTTCCTTCCTTTAAATCCTAAACTTAGTTTCAAAACTGGAACTGTACGTATGCTGTTAACTAGTTTTTAATCTATCTTTCAGTGCGTATTTAATACGTACGGTATGGTATGGTATGTTATAATGCTCACAATTTTCAATAACAGTGTCGCGGACTGAAATGATATTTTATACTGTCTTCAAGGCACTCCTAGACTGTCACCGAAAAAAAGTGACGTAAGTCCTGTCATTCAACTCAATTCACATGCTGCGTTTTATTTGCTGAATCTAAAAAGACTATACAGGGTGTATAAAAAAACTGCACAGTTCGAAAAAGGCTGGTAAACTGGAAAATTGCTTTGTGCAAGCATACATGGGTATTTGGGATCTGCGGGTATCCTCACCACTAAAATTATTTAAAAAAATAAATTTTCGAGTGCAGCAGAGTTGTTTTAAAAACCACTTTAAAATGGCTTTCGCAAAAAAGGACTGAAAATGCAATTTGAATTCATAGGGTGCTAGTGTAGAAGGTGTTTTTTATGAATTATCAAAGTAGACAATTTGATTTACAGTAAGTCCAACGCGCGATCTTTAAATCGTGGACTTATTGCCATAGTAGCTTTTATGCATAATTTTTAAACTTTTTTGTAAAGAGTACACAAGAAATCAATCATGCGTAAAACAACCATGCATAAAATCAGTCATACGCGTGATAAATTATGCGGGAAAAGCTATTATCAGGGCAAAAAAGGCCAAATTTTGGAGGTTGCACGTAGGACATTAAGTATATCAAATTATCTGGTAACTTTAATAGTTCATAAAACAACCTTCCGAATTTGAAACCTGTGAATTAAAATTGCGTTCTGAAGTCTTCCATTTTTGTGCGCAAGCTATTTTTAAAGTGGCTTTAGAAACAGCCTTCCTGCACCGGCAAAATTACGTTTCAAAATAATTTTAGTGGTAAAGATATTAGCAGACCCCAAACTATAGGTGACTGTCGATATATTTATTGTATAAAACGTTCCTTAACCTAACCATACAAATATATTTTTCGTAGGTTCATATGACCCACATTTTTCTCAATAACTTTTTTTGCATAGCATGTATAATTTTTGCGTTGACTATATTTAATGGTAATGATTTACTCAACAATTTAATTGTGTGCAAATGCTTAACTATTTTATAGTTTTCGTAACTCTTCTGTCTCTTAACTCTTAATAGTTTTCTTAACTCTTCTGTCTCTCTCCGGTCTAAAACGATAATTTTTAATTTAAATTCTGTTTCTTTTAGATTTCAAATCTTAGAAAACTTTTTATTAATGTCTAAACTACCCGTCTAGTGTATTTTTTGTTTGTTTCACTTACTGAAATAATATATTAAATAGCCATGTTTTTGTTTACAATTTTGCATTTAAATTCCTCGCCATTTGTTTTAGTATACATGCGCATACGCAGACGTTTTCCCGCAGTGTTCTTGACACAACATTCGCAAGGCAAATTTCAGTAAGGTTGACCACCCATGCGCAGACGTTTTACCACTTTTGTGTTGTTCACGCATTAGAATTGACACGCACGCCCAAATGGTGATCATAGTGAACGCGACAGTTTCAGCACGTCAGCGCAGCTTCAGCTGGACTTTAGGGCTATTTTTCTCGCGTTTTTTTTTCTGTGAATTTTTTTTTAAATTTCGCACATTTGCTAAGCATGACAATTAGTAAAACATCAGAATTTCAAAAACTTCTACAAGACGAATTTTCTGTAGTCGTTTTTCATGAATATCTCGAAACCTGTCTTGTAAACTTCTCTTCAAATTTTAATGTGTTATTCCTCTATCAACCATAAATTTTCAAAAAAATATTCAGAAAAATTGACAGAAGGCAAAAAGATATGGACGATTGAGTGTGAAATTAGACAATAAAATGCAAAAGATAAAGTTGGCTTTCCAGAGAACAAAGGCGAATATAGACTTTATATTTGCAATGTTGGTTGGCTTGGAAATAATGAGAATTGTGTACTAAATTATTCAACATGGCAATTAATGTCACCTGCATAGGCTGCATATCAGAAATTACTGATCAGAATTTAGTACAACTAAATTTATATAACTATTGGCAGTCATAGAAAAATAAATTATTAAAAAAAAAATTATTTGGAACAATTTAAAAATTATATTTCGTGAGCATGCGATTCGAGATGCGATTAAGCAAAATGTCACGTAGAATGCAACCACCTAGGTGATCTCGGAAAAGGCTTGGCACTAGTTGTAAAATGTAAATCAACTTCTGGTTTAAAATTACTCAATATCTCATTAACGATATTAGATTTCTATCTCAAATTTCTCTCAGATATTCATTTCCCTGTGCAAGACACAGACACAAAGTTTCAAACAGTTTCACAAAAGAATCAGGCCGTGACAAGTGATTGAAGGTACGAAACTGGATTTCTATTTTGTTGCTAGTCCCAGTTGCTCGCCGTCAGATCACCTGGAATTATAGGCCTAATAGAAATTGCTGCTGCGGTTGTTTTGTTTCATTTGTTTGTTTAATTGATGAAAAAAGGTATAATGGTTTTAAGATACATTAAAGAACTCATAAGCAGATCTTGTCCAGCGCAACATTCATTGGGATTTTGTTTCACACTGGAATGTAATGAAAATTAAGATCAGAATATACTGCATGGAGCGTATACCAGAGGGCAAACCTCCGAACACTCTTCTTCTGTTATGTATATAGCAAAAAGGGAGACGATTTACAGAATAATAAATTACTCACTGCAAGGACCATCGTGAACTTTCGTGATATTCTCTTCACTCTCACAGTCAGCCACTTTCAACAAACACATGTTATCATACGTCTTTCCATCTGATCCACACACGGGAGCGTATATCGCAGAACAAAATTGTTGACACCCTGGTTCTTTGATATAATTATAAAGGACAGAAAAGGAAGTTTTGATTGACAAAACATTTAATATTTCTCATTAATTATCTAGGATATTTTAAAACATTACATATCATAAAGGACCGAAATTTTTTTAAAAATTCATGTTTAGTTATCAGTTATTATGCGCATGCGCGCTGCCATCTTAAATGTTTACCTTCACTCTTGCATGATCCGTTATGTTTTAATGTTATTTCTTTGTCGTTTTCAAATTCACAATCAGCAAACCGCAAGCTACATAGATTGGGGTAAGTCTTGCCGTTTGATCCACACACTGGATCATAAATATGCGAACAGAAGGCCGGACACACTTTATTCGTGACTAAAACAATAAGAAAACTCGATATAATATGTATGGCTTCACTGTTTGGTCAGTGCTGTAAGACATCCCTGTAACTGTATGCATAATTATTAGGTTTTGCATAATTTCAAGCCCGCAGGATTATTTTAAAGAAATTTTATCACTGCACATGTGACAAGAACCCCATAAACTAGACATGTCACACACCGAAGGAGCGCTGTGTCCAGCTCTCTAGATTATAAGTTATCGCTGTACTGGAAAATCCAAAACAGGAAAATTGGCTAATTTGTAAATAGGAACCTAAGAAAAGAGACCAAACAAATTAAGGTGATGGGGAATTGCGAAAGACAAATTGAACTATTCAGGGGTCCTGGGGAACTTTTTAGCCTTTCAGTACTTTTTAGCCTCCAGAGGTTGACTTCTTACATTTTCAGAAACAATTTTTAATACATTTCAGCTTGAAATATTGAATATTAAAACATATAAAATTCGATGTAAAATTTGAAAACATTATTGAATAATTTAAACATAACTTGTCATTATGCACTCCTTTTACGAATTAATATCACGTATAGTTAAATAATAAAGCAAATCAATACCGGACACAATCTCATTTATCATTGCACAAGTCCCATTGATCGTTGCACAAATTGGTTATCACTGCACATTAAAATTATCCCTGTTTCAAGCTCATGCAGTATACTGTCAAGTGAGGTGGAATAGTTGCGTTCACTGCATGATGAACATAAAATTCAACATAATACTAAATCATACTGTATAATTTGAGTAACTGCTCATTTAAGTCAGAGAAGGCTTCATTATGTGATTTGTGAATCAACTTGAATTGTAAAATTGAGAATATAAACATCAATCACACGACACATGCACGATAGGCTTGTAAATCTTAAGATCAATAAACGTGCATGCATGAAGATAATATTCAGCAGAACATGAACGAAAAGTGGGAAAACAATAATTTAAGAGGCAGGACGATCTGTATCAAGGTTTAGAAAATTATTTAACAAAAACTGAATTATTAATGCATGAGTTTTACAGCTATCTAATTTGCTGCGCATTAGAAGATGCTGCTGTACATGCATGTAAATTGTGTTCATAAAAAGGTAAGCGGAGACATACGCAGGCCTGATGTTAGTCGGAATTGCAATTGTTTGTGGTGTACAATAACAGTAGAGGTACATTCTTGTTTGGACCTGCACGTGACATATTATGGTTGACAAGGCACTGCACGTGACATATTATGGTTGACATGATTTGCCAATAAGCTTATGAATTATTAATGAGTGTTTGAAAACCATTTCAAACACTCAAACGGCTTCAAACACGACTATACAAATTCAATAGATATATTGTTTTATTAGTATCTTTATACAAAGAATACTAATGAGGACACGACTACAATAGATACTGCCTTATTAGTATTCTTTATATAAAGAATACTAATTAGGAGTGTTTTATCAGGTTTAAAGCCACTGCACGTTACATAGTGTGGTTGACATGATTTGCCAATAAGCTTATGAATTATTAATGAGTGTTTGAAAACCATTTCAAAAACTCATTAATAATTCATAATTCATAAGCTTATTGGCAACTCATGTCAACCATAATATGTCACGTGCAGTGGCTTTAAACCTGATAAACACTTCTAATTAGTATTCTTTATATAAAGAATACTAAAAAGGCAGTATCTATTGTAGTCGTGTCCTCATTAGTATTCTTTATATAAAGAATACTAATAAAGCAGTATATTTATTGAATTTGTAGTCGTGTTTGAAGCCGTTTAATAAACTCGCAGGTCGTGTTTTATTAGGTCTAAAGCCACTCGCGCTGCGCGCTCGTGGCTTTAAACCTAATAAAACACTCCTGCTCGTTTATTAAACAGTACTTAATGGTAAAGATATTAGCAGACCCCAAACTATCCATGCATGCATAAATTTTCCAAAATTTGCAGAATTTGCAGTTTAGCGCAGCGGACATTTTCGAACTGAACAGTTTTTTATACATCCTGTATAACTGAAAACAGTAACAGACGAATGATTTACAGAATAGTATATAGAAATAAAATAAATAAATAAATTACTCACTGCAAGGACCATCGTGAACTTTTGTGATGTTTTCCTCACTATGACAGTCAGCCACTTCCAACAAACACATGTTATCATAGGTCTTTCCATCTGATCCACATACTGGAGCGTATATCGCAGGACAAAATTGTTGACACTTTGGTTCTTTGATATAAAGCAATAACAGGAAAGAAATTAGTTTTGATGAAGAAATATTAAACATTTCTGATAAATTAATTATTTTAAAACATCATATCATAGGAATGGGAAGCCAATTGAAACATTAGAATATAAGTTTTTCAAATTTAGTTGAAGTGGATGGTATAGAACTAATTTCAGGGGATTCGAAGGCAAACAGAATTTAAATGCGCAATTTTGGCTTAATTAGAATTGCAAATATGGAAACTCGCACTGACGAAGCTATGCATGGCAACTGGTCATGCTATGCTAATAAACCTGCATCTATACCGGCCGCAGGTTAAAGACAATACATTTCTAAAGATTTGAAAAGTTCAAACCATCAAAAATGTGCATAACATGACCCGCTGCTATGGCTAGCTTCCCACTGGAAAATCGTGTACTAAATTTATTCAACATGGCGACGTCACTTGCACATCAAGAACTACTGATCAGAATATATGAGTACAACTAAAATGATATAACAATTGGCAGTCGTACAGAAATAAATTTATTTTATTAAAAAACTTTGGAACTAATCAAAATATAATATGTCTAATATTAATTTGCATGTAAACACGCAAATAAGCAAAATAATTATGTAAATTATAATAGAAATTCGTGCTGCATTTTTATTTTGCTTCACTTGTGTGCCTAATTTATGAAAAATTATATAATTATTCCAAGCAAGATATATTGAAAAACTCATAAGCGGTCTTATTCAACAAACATTTATAATTGGGATATGTGTTACTATCTGGTTCACATACTAGAACATATTGTGCCACTGTGGACAGTTTGGTTTCTTATTATACATTCAGGTTGCAGAAGAATAAAGTGTTGTCAGATTTGAAAATATTTAAAAATGCCTGATATACACGAACTAAAAAATCCAAAAATTAGAACACATTTTTATAGCGATGGTTTTCAACTAATCTTCCAACCTCGTACCCAGGGCATTTTACCTCCACGGCGTCGACGCCGTGGACGTAAAATGCCCTGGGTACGAGGTTGCTAATCTCCAGGGATTCAAAAGACAAAGCATGTTGGATAAAAGTTCGTTGAAAGGAAAAACAAAACCTTTGATGGGTAACGACTGCCGGACTGGATATATAGAGCTATAACTATTGATGATTTTTAAGAAAGAAATTTATCTAAACTTGTTTAAAATTATATTTAAAAAACATTTTACTCACTACAAGGACCATCGTGAACTTTCGTGATATTCTCTTCACTCTCACAGTCAGCCACTTCCAACAAACACATGTTATCATACGTCTTTCCATCTGATCCACATACTGGAGCGTATATTGCAGGACAAAATTGTTGACACCCTGCTTCTTTGATATAATTATAAAGAACAGAAAAGAAAGTTTTGATTGACAAAACATTTAATATTTCTCATTAATTATTTAGGATATTTTAGAACATTACATATCATAAAGGACTTAAAATTCATGTTCAGTTATTATGCGCATGCGCGCCGCCATCTTAAATGTTTACCTCTACTCTTGCATGATCCATTATGTTTTAATGTTATTTCTTTGTCGTTTTCAAATTCACAATCAGCAAACCGTAAGCTGCATGGATTGGGATAAGTCTTGCCGTTTGATCCACACACTGGATCATAAATAAGCGAACAGAAGGCCGGACACACTTTATTCGTGACTAAAACAATAAGAAAACTTGATCTAATATGTATGGCTTCACCGTTTGGTCAGTGCTGTAAGACGTCCCTATGCATATTTGGTTTTGCATAATTTTAAGCCCGCGGGCGGATTATTTAAAAGAAATTTTATCACTGCACAACGAGAACCCCATAAAATAGCCGAGCATATCACACACCGAAGGAGCGCTGTGTACAGCTAAGTTACTAGCTCTCTAGATTATAAGTTATCGCTGTATACTGGAAAATCCAAAACAGGAAAATTGACGAATTTATAAATAGGAACCTAAGAAAAGGGCCAAACAAGGTGATGGGGAATTGCGAAAGACAAATTGAACTATTCGGGGTTCCTGGGGAACTTTTTAGCCTTTCAGTACTTTTTAGCCTCCAGAGGTTGACTTCTTACATTTTCAGACACAATTTTTGGTACATTTCAGCTTGAAAGATTGAATATTAGGCCATATAAAATTCGATATAAAATTTGAAAACATTATTGAATAATTTAAACATAATTTGCGATTAATTATGCACTCCTTTTACGAATTAATATGACGTCTAGTTAAATATTAAAGCAAATCAATACCAGACACAATCTCATTTATCATTGCACAAGTCCCACTGAACGTTGCACAAATTGGTTATCACTGCGCATTAAAATAATTCCTGTTTCAAGCTCATGCAGTATACTGTCAAGTGAGAAACATAAAGATCAACATAATACTCAATCATATTCTTTATAATTTGAGTAACTGCTCATTTAAGTCACAGAAGGCTTGATTATTTGATTTGTGAATCAACTTGTAAAATTGAGAATATAAACATCAATCACACGACACGTACACGATAGTCTTGTAAAAATCTTAATTAATATATCAAGATCAATAAAAGTGCATGAAGATAATATTCAGGAGAACGTGAACGAAAAGTGGTAAAACAATCATTTAAGAGGCACGACGATCTGTATCAAAGTTTAGAAAATTATTAAACAAAAACTGAATTATTGAGTTTTACAGCTACCTTTGCTGCGCATTACTACTAGAACATATTGTGCCACTGTGGACAGTTTGGTTTCTTATTATACATGCAGGTTACAGAAGAATAAAGTGGTGTTAGATTTGAAAATATTTAAAAATGCCTCATACGAACTAAAAAATCCAAAAATTGGAACACATTTTTATATAGCGATGGTGTGCAACAATCTCCAGGGATTCAAGAGTCAAAGCATGTTGGATAAAAGTTCGTTAAAAGGAAAAACAAAACATTTGATGGGCAAAGACTGCCAGATTGGATATATAGAGCTATAACTATTGATGTTTTTTTAAGAAAGAAATTTATCTAAATTGTTTAAAATTATATTTAAAAAGCATTTTACTCACTACAAGGCCCATCGTGAATTTTCGTGATATTTCCGTCACTCTCACAATCAGCGACTTCCAACAAACACATGTTATCATACGTCTTTCCATCTGATCCACATACTGGAGCGTATATCGCAGGACAAAATTGTTGACACTTCGGTTCTTTGATATAAAGCAATAACAGGAAAGAAATGAATTTTGATGAAAAAACATTAAACATTTCTGATAAACTACTTATTTTAAAACGTCATATGTGATATAGCCTGCTTGCAGACGTATTTCTTATGCCAAACGACGAAAAACTAACGTCTGCTGACCAGAGCTGCACATTCCATTCCCTTTGATTCAGGAGCCAATCATCTGGCAGTGTTCAAAAGAGTTAGAGCCAATTGGACAGGGACCGCAGAGACGGGGGGGGCTGGGGGGGTCTTTAGCCCCCCCACTTTTTTTGACAGCCAAAATTATTAAAATAGAAATCTAAATGAAACTTTCTAAATTAATTAATTGGGGGTTTTATTGATGATTTAGCCCCCCCACTCTCTAATACGCTCCGCGGGCCCTGTTGGAAGCCGCTTTATTGAGAGATTAGCTACTGGGGAAAGCCCTTGCACATGGGAATATATTGTTTGGGTTGAAATTTGTTTACTTGCACGCGTGGATATATTTTGCAAACTATAGCGTTGTTGACAATGACAAACAATCAATCGATCGGGAAACTCGGGTATATCACGATATGTCCAAATGTTGCTCTTGATACTTCCTATATATGCCATGACTTCGACGAAAACTTCTAAAAGATTAAGCTCTCGTTGTCATGTAGAAAAATATAGCCAAGAAAATTCATCTCGGCGCAATTACACTGAAGTTTACATTCAGAAGTTGTTGCTCAAACAGCAAATTAGTTTACTCTGAAGCTAATATTTCGCTTTCTAAGCCACAGTATTATATAATATTTTCTGTCTTCTGAGTTCTGTTGTCTTAAAGATAAACATCCGTCAAAAGTACAAATTTCAGCGAAATATATTCGGGATTTGATGCTGTCTGGCACTGCCTAGATTCATACAGTATAATACCATCCTGTCCGCGTTTTAAATATAACCGGACATCTTCAATATCCGAATCCGATCATTAATGGTGCATTTTATTACCTGGACAAGTATCAATATCTTTATGTGTAATTTTGACCAAAATTCACCTGACGACTGCTTTCAAAATATTTATTTATATTTATTCCGCTTCTAAATCAACTGACGTCACTTTCCAGAATTTGGAAGGTAAATTCTGATTGGTTGACGTAGCAGAATTCATTCTGGCGCTCGGGTTAGCAGACGTTAGTTTTTCGTCGTTTGGCGTAAGAAATACAACGTCTGCGAGCAGGCTATATATCATAGGAAGTGGAAGCAAAATGAACAATTAAAATATAGGTTTTTCAAATTTAGTTAAAGTGGATGGTATAGAACTAATTTCCAGGGATTCGAAAGCAAACAGACTTTAAATGCGCAATGTTGGCTGAATTAGGACTGATTGGAAATATGGAAAATCGCGTAGTAAATTTAATCAACATTGCGACGTCACTTGCACACCAAGAATTACTGATCACTACAGAATTATATAGCACAACTAGAATGATATAACATTTGGCATAATTTTGATTAATATCATGGTCTGAAAATGCTATTTCTGTATATGTGTTCTACGAATTGGAGAACGTACTTGGTACATTTGCCTTGTTCCTCCCTTATCCGTGAAAGATGTAGATATCACTTGCGGTGCATGGGTGGGGAGGGGGGGGGGGTGAGGAAACCTCGTCCCAGGGTAAGATCCTGGGAACGAAGTTCAGGGTGAGGGTGGATGGAGGTATAGAGTGTACATGTGAGTGGCTTGTATAATATCTTAACAATACAAGACTTGTATTGTTCTTGTTAAACTTAATATATGTATACGACGCTACAGAAACCTTATTGTATGCAGGTATATGCGTCAAGGAATATAACAAATTAAGGAGACAGGTTAAAACATAATTATTATATTTTGAACTAGCATACCTTGGCCAAAAACAGTCCATGATAACAGAAACAAAGCAAGCACTTTGAATGCAAGATTCATATTTGCTCTTGGTTGTTTTGATCTAAGAACTATCATTTCACAACTTCTGATCAATACTGATCAACCTAGTCAAGTTTCATGCGTGTTTATAACTGCGCGCGTTACGCATGAAATGTGTATGCGCGCGTTATTACGCGTAATTATGCACATTGAATATCAAGATGCGTAACATATAATGGGTACGTACTTAAGACATAGGCGAATTCAAGGAGCGTGACTTGAAATGCATGCATGCGCGTCAGTCGTGCACGAAGATGAAAATTTAATCCCCAATGTCCACGCAAGCGCAAAATATTCCCGACAATATAGGATTCGAACGTATAGGTCTAAATTTTACGTCGAAAAGGTTATTTATTTTATGTATATTCTTCCAAACTTATATTCTTTCTTTTCTATTCACGGGGCGGGGGCACTTTTCCCGGGATCAGACCCCAGCTCAAAAAGGCCCCCCCCCCCCAAAGCAACGAAGGCCCTTAAAATTTCTTTATGCAAGATTGCGACTGAAAATATAAATCCTAGCTGCGTTAGTGCCGGATAATATGCAATAAAGTATAAAACTAGTGTTGTAAAACACCGCTATAGTCTCTCGTTTTATAATTACGGCATGCAATCTCTCGGCGGCCTTGCATATAACACTGAAGTGGTCGCTGGCAGTCGCTTAGATGTAATCGGTAATGTAATGTAATGTATTGTAAAAATAAGAAATTTGCATGACCCAGAGAAAAACACTGCAAACTATAGTTTATGAACTGGTTTTGATACTTTTTGCTGTAAATTAATCAAGTACAAGTCTGTTTTGGTCTAATTGCAGTGATATTAGACTGTTTAAAACAAGTGGCTAATCAGCGAACCGCCGCATGCGTGTACAAGTGCCATGCAAGTGCATTAATTTTAGGAATCGTTAGTTGTTTCAGAATTAAATTTTGGAGTGTATTGTAATTTGTTATATTAAGACAATTCACATCTCGTGCATGACCTGAGCTAAATATACAATTTGGAAACGATCCATGATAAAAGAATCAAAACAAGCACTATGAACGCCAGATTCATGTTTACTCTCGGTATTCTGATGTAATAAGAAGTGGCGTTTCACAACCGACTCCTATAAAGGCGTTAGTGTATCCCGAAGGTTGAAGCCCAGACAGCCGCACTATTCAGTGGATAGCGACTTTTTCAAGCTTTGTAAAATAACTCATTGTTTGGTATAACCCATATTACACATCAGTAATTATAAATTGCAGTTTCTTTTTATCAATTTTACACTTTTTCAAAAACGCATTTTTAACTAGGGATCCAAGGATAGTGCAAATTAAGTTTCAAATTGAGAAAGACACTAGTGCAAGTGTGTGGGGGCATAAAGTGGAAAACGCTTTTTTTGACAGACACCGCATTTTCCACTTTATGCCTCATTAAAATCGAATCTTTATATAGGAAAATAAACTGTTTTGACAGACTCCGCACTCCGCACTCTATACTCCGCACTTCGTCTTATCCACCATGTCGTCTGAACCCTATAACGTGCTGTATGTGGTTCTAGCAGTTCAGCAAAGAATATATTACAACTGGCTTCTCTGGCTTCAGTGTACTGAGTGTCTGAGTGTAGCCATTTATTCTGTGATGTAGCGCCTAAATAATATCGGCACTTGATTTAATTGAATGCCAGTAATGCATAACATCAATTTATATATTGCGTAGAATCTCAAAGATTTTCTCAATATTCGCGTCTGAAATGTTTATACATTTGAAAACAACACTGTCTCGCTCCTTCCTAGTATAGTACTATAGCTCTGTATAATAAATATACCGTCAAAATAATATCAACACTTAATTGAATGCCCGTAATGCATAACATCAATTTATATATTGGGTAGAAGATTTTATCATAATACTGTCAACCTCAGTTGTAATACACTCTAGTCTACACGATTTTACACCGCTGCTCAATAGTCACCGCTCGTCCATATGCTCTCTCCTCCGCAGAGCCTCCTTAAGTATTTACAAATAACTTACATGAAGTTTCCTGAATAAAAGTGAGCGCGCGCGGTGTGATGGGAAGATTGAAATGAAGTTGGGGAGGCTCTGCCAGATAATGCGACGAAGTATGGTTTTGAACCAAACTAGTTGTTTGACCTTTTTTTAAACTTGAAATCGACGGAAATGTGAAAGAAATTGAAATGAATCTTCATAATCTGAGTATCGAAGTTCAATAGAGTCATTTTTATAAAGAAATGTTGCAATTAAGAGGATATTTATAATTAGATAGCTCGTATCCATTGATATTCGTTTGCAATTTCTCAATATTTTTCGATGCAAATGGACAGAAGAAGATATTGATATTGAATTCACCCCAGGATACTCAAGTTCGCCTGAAAATGAAAGTCGAAAACATGTTTTAACACCCCCGATGGTTGATCGAACTTCGCTACAAACGATTATATACGACGCCATATTGATTGCATTAATTAACTCGCAGAGGCTTCCTTTATTTAGCTCTTCCCATCACTCCTTGCGCGCTCACTTTTCCCTCACTAGAAACTTCATGTAAGCCTCTGCGGAGGAGAGAGCGTCCATATGCCCGCCATTGTAAAATTATTAGTTATATCAGAGCACGTGTATTCATTTGTTTTACGTTGCAGGGGGGCATATCATATAATAACAAGTGCTTGAAATGTAACAGTAATTTGGTTATAAATTCTCTAAATGTTGAATAAAATAAATGAGAACATGTACCATCACTCTGGTACCATCATGAATATAAATATAGATTTTTTATAATCTATAAACAGCTACAAACGATTAGTTGGCCGAACGTCGCAAAGCTCTAGAAAACGTAATCAAAAATCATTTGCAAGCTCCCCCCGGATTGTTTACTCCATCGATCCATCGATCCATCAATCCATTGATGGGTCACTGGATTGAATTTTTCTCAAACACTTTGTAAATTAGCGTAACTGCTACTAAATGTGTCAATAAACCATTACCATTACCAAAGCAACTTTGTTTGCACTAAAAACGGTAGAAAAATCACAATAATAATGGGCAGGTCAATCTAGTCAGGTTTCATGCGCGTTTATAATTATCTGCATGCGCGCGGTACCCGTGCATGAAATGCATGAAATGCATAAATGTACAAGAAAGAAAATTGAATATCAAGATGAGTAACATAGTGTACGTACTTAAGACGTAGGTAAATTTAAGGAGCGTAAGTTGATGGAAATATACGCGTCCCCACGAAATGCAAATTGAATCATCCGATGCTCACGCAACTGCAAGAATGTTGCCAACAAAATAAGGTCTAAGCTTGATTGCTGTTGAAAAAATAATTTATTCTATATGTTTATTCTTCCAAACGAGTTACTTCCAAATGGCCGTATCAGTACTCTAGTATTCCAAAGGTCGTAGGTTCGATTCCCACCGTGGCCAGGCATATTTTTCAAGCCTGCCACGGTGCCGGATATACACTCAGAGCCGACATCACAAGCATCTTATTCCCCTGAGTACACTACACCAACACAGCAAATATCATATATACTCTTGTTTGTCTCAGTTATCAAATAATATGCCGGGGTTGCTGCATGCGTTCATTATCAGCTGTAATAATCAAGTATAGTGTAGATTTTTTCAGTTTTTTTGTAAGCGAAGTGCATAATATACGCGTTTTCACGAAATGCAAATTGAATCATCCGATGCCCATACAACTGCAAAAATTTTCTCAAATCCCAAATCAAATGTTGATTTTTTTTGTAAACAGCCACAGGTGGTGGCAACCAAGAATCATTAATGCTGAAAGACCACAAATCTGCTACCTCCTCCGCAGGCCTTTCATAAATATAAAGCCTTCGTCTCAAATGTCAAATTTGCGAACAGGCATGCTGATTACGGGCTGTATGACCTGCGGAGGAGGTAGACAAATCTGTACTGCTTTGGGGATCCCGAATTTTGCATATACTATATAAACTATTATATTGTTTATATAATAATATTGTCAAAACTACATATATTTAGTTTATTTCATGTCATAAATATAATTATAATATAGCATTTGTAATTCTGAACGCTGAGTCAACAAATGTCAACACGAGAAAATGTTTTATATTTGTTAAATGTAATGTATTGTAAAAAATTAGGAAATTTCAAGTCTTTTCTGCATGATCCAGAGCAAAACACTAAAACTAAAGTTTATGAACTGATTTTGATACTTTTAGCTGATTTTGATACAACAGCTTTGTTTTGGTCACTCTACTTTCAGCGGCAAATCAGCGAACCGCATGCGTGTACAAGTACCACGCAAGTGCACTTTAGGAAACGTTAGTCGTTCCAGACTTGGAGGGTATTGTTAGTTGTTACTAAGACAATTCGCATCTCGTGCCGTAAGCTAGGTATACAATTTAGAAACGATCCATGATAAAAGAATCAAAGCAAGCACTATGAATGCCTGATTCATATTTGTTTTCGGTACGTATTCCGATTTTAATAAGAAGTGGCCGTTCACAACTTCTGAGGGCGGCTGTACGCAAGATTGCAGCCCGGATAGCCGCACTATTAAACATGAGTATTTAGAAGTTGCAGTTTCTTTTTATCGGTTGTGATGCCCATTTTCGTAATTTTAATTATAGCTTTTAAAAGCATTATTTTTCAAAACGGTTGAAAAATCACTATCCGGCGGTGGATACAACCGAACTCTGATCAATAATAATGGTCAATCTAGTCAGGTTTAAAAAATTGCGGTTGCCATAGAGTATTTTAATAAAACACAAAAGAATAGACACTCCGAAAATTGTAAACATTTTCAGTTCTTTACGTTTCGACTATAATTGCTTTATATTGTTTTGTGTTTTAGTCAGGTTTAATCATTCGCGTTTACAGTATAACTAGTGTATGCGCGCGTTACGAGGTTGCGCAACTGCAAGAATGTTCCCAACAAAATAAGGTCTATAAGCTTTACTGCTGTTGAAAAATTAATTTATTCATGTTATTCTTCCAAACGAGTTACTTAATTCCAAATGACCGTTACTCTTGTTTGTCTCAGTTATCAAATAGTATGTGGTTGCTGTATACGCACGCTCATTAACAACTATTAATAATAATCAAATGTAGAATCAGTTTTCTGGTTTTTGTAAGCACGCACATGCAGGTGGTGGTAATCAAGAGTGATTAATGCTGAAAGACCACAAATTTGCACTGCTTTTCGTGAATTTTGCATATGCTAAACTATAATGTTTATATAATAATATTGTATAATAATAGTGAATTTTGCATATGCTAAACTATAATGTTTATATAATGTAAATTGAAATAAACTAAATAAAATTAATATACATTAATTTTATTTAGTTTATTTCATGTCATAAATATAAATGTAATGTATATTGTAAAAAATAAGAACGTCTTTCCAGCATGACCCAGAGCAAAACACTAAAACTATAGTTGATGAACTGGTAACGTTTTGCTGATAAACAAATCCACAGGTCTGCATGTTTTGGTCACTCCACTTGCAGTGATATTAGACTATTTGAAAACAAGTGGCAAATCAGCGAACCGCATGCGTTTACAAGTACCATGCAAGTGGGACTTTAGGAAACGTTAGGCGTTCCAGATTTGGCGGAGGGTATTAATTGTTAGTTGTTATAATAAGACAATTCACATCACGTGCCGTAAGCTAGGTATAGAATTTAGAAACGATTCATGATAAAAGAATCAAAGCAAGCACTATGAATGCCTGATTCGTATTTGTTTTCGGTATTCCGATTTTAATAAGTGGCCTTTCACAACTTTTGAGGGCGGCTGTACGCAAGATTGCAGCCCGGATAGCCGCATTATTAAACATGAGCATTTAAAAATTGCAGTTTCTTTTTATCGGTTGTGATGCCCATTTTCGTAATTTTATAGCTTTTTAAAGCATTTTCAAAACGGTTGAAAAATCACTATCCGGCGGTGGATACAACCGACCTCTGATCAATAATAATGGTCAATCTAGTCAGGTTTAATCATGCGCGTTTACAGTATAAACAATACTAGCTAGTTCTGCAAGTGTTATGTTAATTAACATAACACTTGCAGAACTAGTATTGCATTGGTCGATGCTGAATTAATATAAGCGAGTATGTATGTATGTATGTATGTATGTAAACTTTATTTAAAGACGTTAGCCTCGTCAACGATTTGTTGATTTTCACGAGGGACGTCTGTTACTATTAAAAATTACAAATATGATATAGAAAAGAATAAAGAATTATATACAACTATTTACAATACAAGAATTAAGTTCCAAACGGTGAGACCCATATTTCTAAAGCATGCATATACAGTATATTAGAAGATGTTAGCGTGAAACTTTCAGGCAGTTTTTAAAAGAATAAATTGATTGCGCTAGCTTCGCATCAGAAGGAAGACTATTCCACAATTTAGCTCCGCTATACTTAAAGCTTTTTTTTAGAAATTCTCGTTTTGGCTTAGAAAGGGTAAGGTCAGTATAAGTATTGCGAAGATTATAACTGGTTTGAACAAGGTCCCTTCTCGTTAGAGCATCCTTCAAGTTCGGCCCAGCGCAATCATTCGGGACTTTATACATTAATGTGGATTTAGTTGTACGTTGTCTTATCTCTAAATTTTCCCAAGCAAGGGATCGAAGAACATCAGCAGACCTTGTTTCATAGCTGGCACCGGTTATAATTCTCGCTGCACGGTTTTGGAACTTTTGAAGCTTATCTTTCAGCTGTTGGTTACAGACGTCCCATAATGGACTACAATAATCAAAATACGGTTCTATCAAAGCTCTGTAGATGGTATGCAAGGTATTTATAGGAACATATGGCTTAATTCGTTGCATTGCTCCTATGCCGGCCCCAACTTTCTTACAAATCATTTCAACATGCTCATGCCAATTAAGGTTTTCATCAAGTTTAACCCCAAGGCATGTGGATGAATGAGCAAGAGTTATGAATTGGTTATTCATCATTACTGGAATATCATAAGTCATAGTATCAGTATTATACTTTGAACCGATATACATTAATTTGGTCTTAGTTGGGTGGTGGTGCAGTTTATTTCGAGCAAGCCACTCACCGACTTTTTTCAGGTCATTATTTAGATTTTCAGTAAGTTCCTCAATAGTTTTGGCAGAAGTAGAAATTTGAGTATCATCAGCGTATAGGTGTGGCGAAGTTTTTTCGAGGCATTCGGGTAAATCATTAATATATAATAAAAACAGCAAGGGACCAAGAATTGATCCCTGCGGAACTCCGCACACAATCGCTTTAGGTGATGACATTGCACCGTTGACAATGCATGCTTGCTCTCTATTAGTTAGATAGGACTTAAACCAATCCAGTTCCACATTTTTTATTCCAAATTGATCATTCATCTTTTGCAATAAGATTGTATGATCAATAGAATCAAAAGCTTTTCTAATATCAAGGAAAACAACACCACTCAGCTGACCATTATCCATTTTCTCATAACGTGTGTCACACATTTGAATGAGTGTTGTTAAAGTTGAATGCTTAGGCCAAAAGCCAGATTGATGTTTAGATAGCAGCGAATTATCATTCAAAAACTTATAAATCTGGTTGAAAACCGATCTCTCTAGTATTTTACTGACAATAGGCAATATAGATATCGGTCGGTAATTTTCACATCTTTGTCTATCATCAGATTTAAAAATTGGCATTACCCACGCCTTTTTCCATTCATCAACAAATATCCCAGTTTTGATTGAAAGATTATAAATCCATGTTAATGAAGGACCAATAACTTCCACGGACAATTTAAGAGCTATAGCAGGGATGTTATCAATACCGGTAGACTTTGAAATTTTAAGATTACGTAATTGACAAATAATATCA